CACTAATGGTACTCCCGTCCATTACATTTCCTTTTTGTTTTTATAGTGCTTTTCACCGTCGGAAATACTACATTACTTGTTCATTTATCCACTATGTCTCCTCCTACCTCTATTCTACCTGAATATAAGTTTCATAAGGACAAAGATTCTTGACCATTTGTTCACTGATATTCTCCCAAGAGTTATACAGAGATGAATACTTATTACTTAACAAATATGTGTTGAATAAATGAAGGCATACTGTGTCTTTCCAAATGTCTGGAGGAACCCATACTATCAAGGACTGCAGGATGCCAAATGCTTTTTTCACATTTAAGACAGCGCCAGGGTCAGCAAGCAGTGTGATGGTTAAGGTGCTGTGGACTCTCACATAGGCAGTGATTTGAGTCCCAAACCTGGAGGCTTGAAATTCATGTTGGGCACACACACATACTTGCCCAAAATGGAGGAGGAGAATGGAGGAGAAGGAATTGCCAGTGTGACCATCTCCCTAGGGGATTATTTCTCATTTTCCTGTTGCTATCTCTGTCTCTCTCTCTCTAGCTAATGAAAATTGACTTCTTGCTAAACCAAACCATGAACTATAAAGAATAGCAGGGACCAGGAGTTAGCATAATGGCTGTGTCGCTGAACTCCCATGTAGCCAACCGTGGTTTGAGTCCTGGACCCAGTGGCTTAAACTCACGCTGGGCTAAACTCACGCCAGGCGCATGTACGCGCATGCCCAAGATCCTGAGAGGAGAATGGAGGAGAAGGAATTTTGACATGACCATCCTCCCGGGGGGTGATTTCTCGCTTTCAATCTCTCTGTCTTTCTCTTTCTGGTGAGTGCACGTGCCCTATAGCAAAAACCTCTCCAAAAGAAAAAGAAAAGAAAAGAAATTTGGCTACATTCTATGAGGACAAATTGCTATAAATACTTCTCCACTTCTCATTTTTCACATCTTCTGGACTGTGGTTTCTTCCGTCTTTGTCTTCCTCTTTTATGACTAAAACTTACCAAACCAAAAAAATTCACCCTATTTTGTCTGTGCAAAAATATGTTTCTTACATTTTCTTTTGCATGTCATCCCATTCTGTTCATTGAACAATAACAAATAATAAAGGAAGAACCAAAGCAAAGCGTGGAATAAAAAAATGCTAATTGTGGTTTGAAATGAGAACAAGGGTTCCAGAATGAATTGCTAAAGAATTGCTGTTGAATAATATTTTTAATTCATTTTATTGCTATTATTTATTTTAATAATTTTTACATCTGACCAGGAGTGTGGTCCATATTAGGCTATTGTTCTGTTCAGGACCGACATTTAAAATATCAATTAAAAAAAGTAAAGCACGGCCAGTCGTGGTGTGGTGGTTAATGTGGCAGGATCCCACATAGCCCCCTACACGGTTGTAGTTCCTGATCCAGCAGTTTCAAAAACACATCAGGAGCATGTGTGAGTGTGCCCTAAATCCGAAAAGTAGGAAGAAATGGAGGGGAAATTATTGCAGCATAATCATTCTCCAACAAGGATGCTTTCACATTTTTCCTCTCTCTTTTCTCTGTCTGTATGTCTCCTTCAGCCAACCACCACCCACAAGACCTTCTTAAATGTTTCACCATTACACTGCAGACAAAGCTTCCAGCACATTAACCACTGAGAACTAACCATAGCATCTTCTTACACTGTACTAGAGTCCTTCTTTATTTTGCTTTTATTTTAAAGTTAATCACTGTGTATCATTATAGCATACAAAATGAATTTTCTCAGCATGAATACTGAGAAATACTGTGTATTAGCCCAGACCCACCTTCACAAGTACGTATTATTCTTTGTATTTTTATAAAGTCATTCTAACCTGGATGAAGGGATACTCCATTGTGGATTTGATAGCATGTCCCTGATGATTACTGATGTGGAGATTTCTTTAATGTACTTGTTAAACAGTAATATATCCTTTCAAATGTCTTATAGTCTTAACAAGTGTGCCTCTGTAATTTTAATATCATAGATATGCTACCTACCTATTTGGATATTTTTTGTACATATGTGCTTTATGTATAAAAACTTAGAGATATTGGGAACCAGCAATTGGCGTAATGGTGGACTCCCATGTAGTCGACCACAGTTCACGTCCCAGACCTGGTGGCTTAAAATTCACGCCGGGCGCGCTTGGGCATGCATGCCCAAGGTCCTGAGAGGAGAATGGAGGAGAAAGGATTGCAGCGTGATCATCCTCCCTGGAGGGCAATTTCTCGCTTTCTGTCTCTATGTCTCTCTCTGGTGAGCGCATGCGCCCTATAGTGAAAAACCTCTCCAAAACAAAACGAAACAAAAAAACTTAAGAGATATTTTCAGCTCTTACTTTTATACCCTTAGGAGAAATATTGTATACATTGCAAATGTATGTATACATAGCTAAATTATTTACTTAAAAGGGGGGCAGTGATGGCATGGTGGTTAGGGTGGTAGGCTCCCACATGATCAATCACAGTTCAAGTCCCAAATTCAGCAACTTGAAAATCGTACTGGGCATGTGTGCACACATATCCAAAGTCTCAGGAGGAGACTGGAGGAGAAGGGATTGCAGCATGGTCGCCCCATGGTGTGTGTGTGTGTGTGAGTGATTTCTTTTTCTTCTTCTTTTCTTTTAGAGGTTTTTGCCTTAGGGTGCCTAGATTGGAGGTGGGGAGAGAAACAGTGAGAGGGGAAAGTGAGAAATCACCTCCCTGGAGTGCAATCCCTTCTCCGCCATTCTCCTCTAAGGATCTTGGGCATGCATGCATATATGCCTGGCATAAGTTTCATGTCACTAGGTTCAAGACTCAAACTATAGTTGGTCATGTGTGATTCCAGCAATGTAACTGCTACATCATCTGCAGGCCCCACTGGTGGGTAATTTCTCACTTCCCTTCTCACTGTCTCTCTCAGGTAAAAACAAGAGCCCAATGTAAAAATAAATAAAAATAAAAATTAAATAAAAATTTAAAAAAAGAAAAAAGTGGTTAAACTTGGACTTCACTAAAATTTTAGCTGTGTTGCAATTACAACCCAAATCTACACTCAATTCTTATTTTCTGTATCACCCTCTTAAAAATATTTTATTCAACATACTTGGTACCAAAAATGGCATTGCTTATTTATTTGCTTCTTTGTTATTACCAGATTATCCACCAATTATATTATCTTCCAGGCCTAGACTGTGTGGACAAAGATTCCATTTCTTACAAATTTGAAACATCCACACCTGAGCTGGAACACACTGCCATTCCCCCAAACAATGGTTCCATGTTTAGCATTACCACGTGGTCAGATTGTGGAAGAAATAGTTCCAGATGATCATTGAGTTTAACAAAAGGACATTGTGAGAAGCGACATGAGTTGGAGTGATATAGCGAGAGAAGGCTGGAGTCATAAAGTGTTATGTAACAGTGTAGAGTGACCTCCCCTTGTATTTTCCACATGCATAGGGGAGTATAGTTGGAAATATATTGCTACATGTGAGAAAAGTCTACACACATTGGCATCATCTTTCCTGAAGAACAAAGAGAGACTTCGTTCTATATAAAATTATCTATAAGCATAAACATACCACAAATAACTGTATTTTACAAGAACTGAATTGAAATATTGTAACTGAAACTCAGATGCATGATCTGAGGCAGGTAAATTAATAAACCTTTCGTAACTTCAATTTGCTTCTTTCTAAAACAGGGACAGTAATATGGGAACTACCAACTTAATACGAGGATTAAATCATCTAACTGAAGTGGATTTGTCTGAAAGATAATAAAACTTTAATTTACTGAAAGTACATGTAAAACATCTATGGATCAATTTTTTTGGAAATTTAGCATATGCTGTTTTGTGGAGAATTAATAAAAGAATGTTTATCCTATTGCTTAAAATAGTTCCTTAAGCCTGGGTTAAAAAAAAAAAAGAAAAACAAAAACAAAACTAAAAAAATTTCCCTTTTATGCAGTAAAAAGTGTAAGCCATGATTCTATTTAAGAAAATAAGAACAGATTAAGAGTAATTTCAAAATTTCTGGCTTATTTTTTATGCCAGGAAAATAAATTAAGAGAGGCTATGGTTTTTTTCTTCCTTAAGTGGGTATCTTTTAGATGTTGGCAGACTCATGGTATAAAAGAAGGGGGAAAAAATGGAAGGAAAGGAAGGGAGTGGAAGAAAGGAAGGGAGAAACAAAGAAAGGAAGGAGGGCAGGAAAGAAGACTAACAATGGTTTTCTTACATTAAGGATGTTAACTCTCTAAACATCTATTTAAGATTTCTAGAGATTTTGTTTTTTGTTTTGTTAAAGACCAAGTAAAAGAAAATTTAATTTCTCATAAGGACTCTGTGGATAAATAATTTTATCTAAATGACATATATAGGAAGAGTTTAGTAAAATAGTAGTGAATCTCAGAGAAAAACATGCTCCGGAATCATCAAACTAGAACTTCGGTTGTTCTTTCCACTGCATATCCAGAATTTATGGACATAAACTTTAAATATTTGGTAAAGTATGAGAAGCCTATCAAAAGCATCTAGAAAAAAAGTCTTACCACTATTAACTACCCTATATATATTAGTTTCTTTTATTTTAAAGATATTTGCTACAGGACATGTGTGCTTGCCCAAGAAACAGAGAGAAACAGAAAGACAGGAAGCAAAAATTACCCCCCAGAGGGAATGGCCACACCGCAATCCCTTCTCCTCTATTCTCTTCTTTGGATTTTGGGCACACACATACACACACTGGGCATGAGTTGTAAGCTGCCAGATCCAGAAACTTGAACCGCAGTTGACTGTGTGGGAGTCCAGTGACGTAACCATTATGCCATCTGCTGGCCCCAGTTTCTTTTTCTTTTTTTTTTTTTTTTCATTTTTATTTGTTTGTTTCTTGATTTTGCTTGTTTATCATTGAGATCTGAAACATTGAATCTCTTGCAGTTTACCAAAGATATAATCCTCCCTGTTTACATACGACCTCACTTTCTTAATAATATAAACAGGCTAAGTTACTCTCCTCTTTAACAAATTTCTCATAGCATTTTTCACCTCTGTGTTTCTCACTGTGTAAATTATAGGATTTAACATAGGGGTGAGGATGGCAAAGAACACAGTCACCAGCTTGTCTACTGAGTAGGTGGCCACTGGGCGCATGTAGGTGAATATGCAAGGCACAAAAAAGAGTACTACGACAGTAAAGTGGGAGCCACATGTGGAGAGGGCTTTGCTCCGTCCTTCAGAGCCATGGGATTTCAGGGAGCTCAAGATAACTACATAGGAGATGAGTAGCATGGAGAAAATGAGCAAGCACATAGCTCCACTGTTGGCTGCCACCACCATTCCCAGCCTGTAGGTGTCTCTGCAGGCAAGTTTCAACAATGGGAAGAGATCACACATGAAGTGGTCGATGACATTAGGCCCACAGAAGGGCAAGTTGACCATGAAAAGAATCTGCACAGTGGCATGCAGGATGCCTCCAATCCAAGCTACCACCACCAAGACATGACAGAGCCCCTGTCTCATTATAGTCATGTAGTGCAGGGGCTTGCAGATGGCCACATAGCGGTCATAGGCCATGACAATGAGGAGGATGATCTCCGATCCTCCCAGGAGGTGCTCCACAAAGAGCTGAGTGAGGCAGCCCCCGAAGGAGATGGTTCTCCTCTGGTAGAGCAGGTCAATGATCATCTTGGGGGTGGTGACACAGGTGTAGGAGGCATCTATGAAGGACAAGTAAGTGAGAAAGAAGTACATGGGAGCCTTAAGGGTGGTGCTAAGAGAGATAGTGATAACGATGAGCAGATTAGCCAGCACAGTAAATAAGAAAATGAGCAAAAAGACAATGAAGAATATTTTCTGCAAATGTGGATTCTGTGTGAGTCCCAGGAGAACAAATTCGGTCACATTGTTGGGAGGCATGAGCTGATCCATTCAGTTTGTAACACCTTATGGGGGGCCTTAATAATCTAAAAGAGATTTTTAAAATGCAGTTAATTAGTTATGAAATAATTACTGTCTGTATTTCATAGCACCAAGGTAGGGTAATCACTGTAATTGTCTAGGGCATGTCCTTGGCATCTCTGGCCGCAGTAATGTACTTTGTCCCTTCCTTCATTTTGCTCTTTATCTCTTATGATATCTAGGATTTGTCATCTATAAAGCATCAATAGATAACAATTAACATGTAATTTACTGAGTAAATACTGAGCTATGTGCATGCAGTTTGGATACTTCTGACTCCAACTCCATATGACTTTGCCAAGACATTCTGGTGTCCTCTACTTCCAAGCCCTCCTCTGCAAATATGACCCTATATTCTACATTCTTACTTTAAGATGTATTTTGTAACCTGTAAAGCACTGCACACAGGTAAAGGTTACCCTCTACTAGGGTAATTTACATTTGAAACAGAGCTTGGTGAAAGTTGTAGTCTAGAAACATTCATTACAATAAGGTAGATTAGAAAAATATATATATTGCTGAAGACACACCCTCCCTGGAACCTTCCATAAAACATAGGCTATTCATGTCTGTTTCCTACCTGTGACTAACGTAGTACTTGTCGTAAGGTCTTCGGTGCTGGCTCCAATTAGGTGATGAATAAATATTAAATGAATTGCCACACTTTTACAATTCCATGGATAAGAATACACCTGCTTTTATAGCGTGTAAACCTAGGAACTCACATATGCTTATCCTCGCATGCTCCACTTTATGAGAAACATAAATAAACTTGATACGAGTGTGCTTCCCAGCTTAATATATTCTGGTATGTTTTATAAAGTAAACATAAAAACATTAAATTCCTAAACCAGCAAATGTCATAGCAGTTACATTGCTGAACTCCAACATGGCTGACCAAGGTTTGAGTCTCAGGCCTGGTGGCTTAAAACTTACATCAGGTGTGTGTACATGCATGCCCAAGATACTGGAAAGTGAATGATGGAAAAGATATTACAGCATGACCATCCCACAAGAGATAATTTCTCACTTTTCCTCTCACCGTTTCTGTCTCTCTCTCTCTCGTGCTCTCTCTCTCTGGTGCATGCACATGCCCTAAGGCAATAACCGCTTAAAAATATATATATATTAAGTCCCTCTATGAAAAAGTATGTAACTAATTTGACTTTCAAATTAAGTACAGCATTAGATGACTAATGTTTATTTTTCAAAATTAGTTTGCATATACATTTTAAACACAGTTCCTACCCAGTAAACTTACAGCTTCAATAGGCTAACATAAAAAAACTATTGGACAGATTTTACAATTGTGAAGATATGCTAGCAAAGGCAACTCTTATTTCCAAGTTTTAAAAATAGAACGGTAACATGCACAGCAAAAAGAAATAGACTATTAGAGGGACCAGCAGTTAGCGCAATGGCTATGTCGCTGGACTCCCACGTGGTCAACCGTGGTTTGAGTCCCAGACCCGGTGGCTTAAACTCACGCCTGGCGTGCGTGCGTGTGTGCCCAATATCTCGAGAGGAGAATGGAGGAGAAGGGATTGCGGAGTGGCCATCCACCCCTGGGGGGTGATTTCTCACTTTCTGTCTCTCTGTCTCTGTCTGTCTGGCGAACACATGCGCCCTATAGCAAAAACCTCTTCAAAAAAAAAAAAAATAGACTACTAGATAAGGTGAAACACTGTACAAATATTTAAAGGTACACACATACACATCTTATATATTAATAAAATAAATTAATTACCTGTAAATAATCACTTACATGCTTATTATTCAACAAGTATTTACTAGACACTTACTATGTATGTTAGTGTACCTTTATCTATATTAAATCATAAAACTATCTTATAAAATGCCACTAATAATTTACCCCTTGACCTTTCTTTACTTCACAGAAGCAATTCATCCAGCCACAAGATCAACCATCACCATCTGTCCTTTGTGTTTCTGCTACACACATGCTTATGCGTTCTTCTCCCATCTCCCCATGACATCCATTACAGACCCATCTTGTCTAGAGGGTATCATGTTATTAACAGAATGGGGAAAATCATTCCAAGGGGGAACATATTTCTCAGAGAGATAAGAGAGAACAGAAATATAACAAAATGTATTCTTTCAAAGATAAATGAATAAAAACTTTCATGTTTTAATTATTCAAAATGAAAAATCCTTTTTTTTGGAGATGTTTTTCCTATAGGGTGTTTGCACTCACCAGAAAGTCAGAGAGAGACAGAGAGATAGAAAGCATGAAATCACCCCTGAGTGAGGATGGCCATGTCACAATATCTTTTCCTTTATTCTCCTCTAGGGATCTTGTGTACACACACACAGGAGACTGGCATGAGTTTAAGTCTCCGGGTCTGGGAACTGAACCGCGGTCGACTACATGAGAGTCCAGCGACATAGCCATTACACCAACTGCTGGTCCCTAGAGATGAAAAATCTAACACATATGTGGAAAACAAATTGCAACAGCTTAGCTACATCCCCTTATCCTTTTGTTGGCTCCCAAACAGATCTGAAAAAAGAATGGTGTACAGAAAGAAAAATTTAAAAATAAATAAAGGAAAGTGACTCAAATATAACTATAAAGTCTCTTCTCTTTGACTTCATAATATTGTTTTTAGGAATAAACTCAGAGGAAACATTTTAAAAAGAGAAAAATTTTATGTGGAAAGATATTCAAAACAAATATTAAGAACTGTACAAAGTGAGAAACTATATGGAATTTCCAGTGTTAGAGAAACAGGATAAATATAGTTCATTTCTTAGAGTAATTTGTAGCTATTAGTAGAAACGTTTTTAAGATTTGAGTAATATCATAGGATAATTCTCAAGTTGTGAATATTAAGTGTGAAAAATTTTGATGCAAACATATATATATGTTACATGATTCTAGTTTAAATACATATCAAAGAAAGATCCCTAAATATGTTTACTTCTAAATTGGTAGAATTAAAATTGCTCTGTCTTAATGCTTGACAAGCTGAAAAAGAGATTTAAACCTCAGACTGGTGGGGAAGAGGGATGATTATATGATTTTTTAATGTTCATTTACTTCTGAAATTTTATAATTCTATGATATTTTTAAAAATCTCACCTGTCAACCTGTTTGACATAGTTTCATAGCCAGGAGAACAGACAGTTGTTAGTTCACCAAGTAAAGCTGTAAGATTAAAAACATCAATTGATTTTGCTACAATAAGTCTTTGCTGATATTTAAATGACGCCTTTGGATAATGCCTTTCTCTTGAGCCTTACAAAGTTCTATCACATACCCTATTTGCCAGCAAATTCTGTAAAGTTTCTTAGCTGTGGCTAATTAGATCTCCAGTGTATTTCACTATCATTAACAAACCTTGCCAACAATCCAATTATTTTACATTTCTTAAATCAACATTAGAGAGAACTTATACAACATTCATCTTTAATTTTTTAACTCCTTTCTTAAGCCTACATGAAGACAAATCAGTGTATCAAGACAAAAACAAAAGAGAGAGAGAAAAAAAAAAACAGTCCACCACTTATAAATTAAAATATTTGATAACGAATCAACTCAGCATAAAATCTAGATATTTGCTAATTGTATAAATTAAACATAGTGGTAGGTAACTATCTGACATTCCAAAATTTTTGTTTATTTAATTCATCAACTTATCCTTCATAGTTCTCATTACTTTTAAATAATCACTAATTGTGACCTGAATTATGTACTAAAAGAAACACATATCAATAGATAAAATTATTTCTAAAAGCAAGAAATTCACTTAAATTTAGGAATTCCTACAGATATTTGAGTGCGTGCCAAAAAAGTATTAGTAAATACAAAAGAAAAGTAATTCTCTAAATTCTACCTTTTTTCTGATACCCTTTGTAATAATTGGAAAAGCATCAAATTTAGATCTAGATGAATGCAAATCTTAACACTAGCTCCATATCTGACATTGGGCTGGTTATTTAACTTTTTTGAACTTCATTCTCCTTCATCTGCAAAAATGAATAATCATAATTCTGACCCTGCAAAAGTGTTGTAAGAGTCAGATGAGTGATGTGGGAAAAGTTTTAACATATGGTAATAAATATTCTAAAAATCATGATAGAAATAAAATCTTCATATTATATCAAATGTGCAATTATATTCCTGAGTAACAACACTCTAATGGCAATTTTTACCTCTGCGTTCTTACTGTATGAATAATGGGATTTAACGTGAGAATGACAGGAGTATATACAGTATCTTAAAATATTAGAAATGGAAAGTTATTGATGATAACATATATACATGATTAAGCCACTATGCAGTATATTCT